TCAAAGTTCTGCTATGGTTCAATCAGCACACCCCACAAATTCTAAGTATGCAAGTGCAGTTAGCAAAACCACCCTATTCTGAGAGACCATCTTGGTTACAACAATCATGTGGCTTACTAAGATGAGGGCAACTCAGGCAGCCCACTCACTAGTCTAGGTTGCCCATTGTTGACCTAGAGGAATGCTGCAGCTTATTTAACCAACCTGGAGGCCCAAAAATCCAACACCAGAAGTGATAAAATAAATTTTGTAACAAATTATGTAAGGCCAGATTCTGATCTCACTTATACCAGTTGTCCACCTGTTCAACTCCACTCACTTCACTGGAGGTACTCCTCATTTATACTGTGATCTGAACTATATCTTTAGTGCTATAAAATCTATACCTGAATATTACTAATAAAATAGTAAGAAAAAATAGACACTCGAGCTACAACAAATTAAGATAACTCAGAATATCAGATACATTTAATTAAAAATTTTAAAGGGAGCATACATGGAAGTAAATGAACAAATCTTGTAATAAGATCTCAGCAGCTACAGCCACCTGATGAAGACAGAACTCAATAGCTATTAAATTGTTTACTGTTCTTTTTTGGCATCTTATTTTACCACTTCTAGAGATTACATTATTTAATAAACACCGTAAGAAGTTGACTAATCTATTTAATAAGAGTCTTGAAACAATAGCGCCAAGACATTGTTGTCCCTGATGCTTCAAAATCTGAGAAAATTAAACACAAACAGCACAATTATCTCATGAGGTATTCAACTTCCAGTTATTGTCAGCATTCCTTTTCAAACAGCTCATTAGCAGAGATGCTGAAAAACAAAATTAATTATTCAGACATGTCAACTATTAACATAATTCATACTGAACGGTCAAGCTGAAGTGACTTTCACAATGGAAGAACACATGCTCTACGGGAAAGTATTAAAAACCCCAACGATATTTTTATATAACACAATTAAATAGTGGCTTCTTTTGTGGCTATATAAACAGCATTTTAAATGTGTTACTTTTTGATTCAGAGTATATTTTGAACTCAGAGTATATTTATTTTAAATCAAACTTGTACATACAGGTTCGGATGGTTCTAATCCAGAATTCAAGATTATGAGGAAAATATTATAAACAACAATATTTATAAAACACTTTTTACTCGTAGAGCTCAGAATGATAAAAGAGTAAACCATTATCCTGAATTTACAAATGGGGAAATTGAGTCAGAGAGAGATTATATGATTTGTTAAAGGGAAGAGAAAAAGTCCATGTTAGAAGTAGAAACAGAAACTAATTCTCCTACAACAGTGTCAGCCAATGATTAGGTCCAATGCCTTATCTACTGGACCACACTGAGTCCAGATTAAGTTGGATAAAAAAAATCTCTTTTATGTCATATTAGTCTAACTTCAATACAATGTTAAAGATCTTGTCCAGATTAAGTTAGTTGGATAGCCTTAAGTTAGCCTTGTGGCTGTTGCTACACTTCAAAGGCGGAGGCGCCCTTATCAACTAATCGAATAGTCAATGCAGATTGCATCAACTATTCAATTAGCCAATTAATCTAAATTAAACATCCTTAGTCTGTATTATGTTCCATTTAGCCCCAGGTCTTGCAAATACTGACAAATATACATCATTTTAAGTGTGTGAGTAGTTTCATTGGTTGGAACTAGGAATGCATTAGTCCTACAAAAAACCAACACAAACAAACAAAAACAAAACAAAAACCATGCCTGTGCTTAGTTGCTGCATGGTGAGTAGTCCATAGGCAATTCTTTGCAAAATCATAGCCTTAGACTAGACTTGTCAGACCAGGGTCCTTGTCTTCATATATAACGTACTATAAACAATGTTTGTGCACCAACAAAGAGAAATTCTTTAAGGTTCACAGTCATTTTTAATTGATTAATTTATTACAATCAGTTTTTGATAGACACCTTACTTAATAGTTTTTATGTCTTGTCTGCTCCCCCACTGATATTTAGGAGGGTTATTGGAAGGAGTATCTAAAAGCAGTACTACCAAACACACTCAAGCGTGCCCTTCCTTCCTTACTCTCTGATAACATGAAAATATTAGCAATTTTTTAAAGCGTTCTGCACCAAACTTAGTGGGTATTAAAGTTGATAAATATAATAAGAAGTGACAGTATCCTCTCTGAAAATGAAATCACAAACCAGAGCAAAGTCTAAACTACAGTTTTTAGTACAAAGGAATGCTGCTAGCATGTAATTGGCAGCAGTGGAAGACTTTAAACTTTGTTTAAAGGATAACAACTGTAGCTGCAACAAATCTGAAAACTTCTCATTCAGATACTGTCAGGAATTAAACTCTCAACTGTAATGTTTCAAAGTTCACTTTTTTTTCTTTTTTAAATGTAAAATGCTCTGTATAGGTACTTTGTAAAGCAAAGCAACAGTCACAAACGAAGCAGTAACTATATGTGATTGAAATAGTTATAGATTAGATGAGTTTTCAAAGGCCCATGTACTCAGTAACTTTTTTACTCACATTAAAATATAAATGAAAAGCACAGAATTTAACTGTAGTCAAAACTTAAGGTTTTAGAAAAGTTTAAATTGTACTGGTTACTAAAATCACAGTGACAAATTATTTATTAACTTCCAGGTGAGTAGAAATCTTCTGGGTACAAGTGTTACTAGTTTCTGCAGAATTTAAGTTTTCATTGAATAAAATAAAAATAAAATTTCTAGACCTTATAATTGTGAACATAAACTTCTAAAAGTGAACCAAATATAACCTGAGGCAGTGAGGTTTTCCTAATTCTACAGGTAGACATCTCCAGAGCCAGAGTAAAAAGGGGACAGCTAATCAGGGCCGGACAGAGGTATGGGCGAGCCGGGCAGCTGCCCAGGGCGCCAACCGATGGGGGGTGCCTGATGACAGCTGTATGGGGTGCGCAGCGCGCAGCTCCCCTTATAGCTGCCATCAGGTACCGCACGCTCGGATCATGGGCTGCAGCAGCTCCCAATGGCCACCCTGCAGCGACTGCCCCCGAGCATCCAGACTGGTGCGATCCTCCGGAATAAAGCCCTTTTCCGGAGGATCTCTTATTCCTACTTCAAAGGGCTTTATTCCGGAGGATCGCGCCAGTCTGGACACACTTTTCCGGCTTTTCCCCAAGCCGGAAAAAAAGCGGCGGCCATGTTTATTTAAATCCCACGGGGGATATTTAAATCCCCCGCGGATTTCCTTATTCCAAAGTTAGAAATTAGCATGCCTCTTCCGAAGAAGGGGCCAGTGTAGACGTAGCCTTAGTGTTTGGGCTAGTAGAAGTTGGGTCCATTTTTCAAACCCTGTGCAATCATGGAACAGTGCATTAAACCAAGCTTCTGTGATGCAAAAGCTCATTTAAGATAATGGCAGTAACTTAATTTGAGCCAACACCCTTATAATTTATTATGATGCAGCAAACAGCACAGGATAGTTTATGAGGATGCAACTGCTATAAAAACTTGCTAACGATTCTCAGTAACTTTACTTTGAAATGAACATAGTGGCCTCTAGTAGAGATGTGAATGGTTAACCAGTTAACCAGTAAGCATCATCTTTAATAGGTGATGCTTACCGATTATGATTAACCAGTGGGGGCTGGGGGTGCTCCAGCCTCACTGAAGGAGGGGAGGAGGGGAGGGTGCCACTCCAGTCCAACTAATTAAATGGGATTTTTCATCCCTAGCCTCTACACTAGAATGAAAGACCTGCAGCATGACCATGGCTGGCCTGGAGCAGCTGATGCCAGCTTGGACTGCAGAGTTAAAAATGGGTGTGTGAATGACTGGACTTGGGCTGGAGCCTGGACTCTGAGACATCCCTCCCTCCCCTTCTCCCACACCATGTCCAGCCCAAGGAGCTACACAGCAATTTTACATCCCTGCAGCTCAAGCCCAATTCCGCCGACCCAGGCCAGCTACAGATGTTTAACTGCTGTATAGATGTACTCCTTTTGGGTAGCCTCAGTCCTGCCTCCAACGGACATGTATTTTCCCTCTCCTAGACCTGAAAATGCCCACTGCAAAGACCTGTTTTTTGAGCAGTTTCTATGGCGAAGCCAGGGACTGCATGACCCTGGGGACTGAACTACCCTCCCCCTTGGAAAAGGTGACCCTCTACTTCAGGGCTGAAGCTCTCTGACAAGGCAAGGATGGGATGGCACCCACCATGACTGCTCCTTCTGTAACTGTTCTGATGATTAAAGGACTTCAGCCTCCAAAGACATCCACCTCCCATTTTGAGTGTAATTACTGCTAGATTGGCTTCAGGGAGGATAACCTTGGGGAAAGGAGCATCTTTATATGATGACAGATTTTCACCAAAATATTTAAAATGTATCTCTGTCACTGAGCAGCGGTGTGCTCTCTATGCCTAATTCTGGCAGTCCTAGTTTAAAAGAAGATCGCTGGGAGTCAGCAGCAGTCTGAGAGGGCGGGACAAACCAGTTGCCAAGTTTTTTCCCCCTTAAAATAGCTTTTGATGATAAAGATCAGTTTTAACCAGAAAGCTTTGACTCCAATGGCTACTTCTTACATGGCATTAATACAAACACATCACATGCTAGCACCAGCCCCTCACATCACAGCAGCATTGCCAGACGGATTTACTAAAGGACATAGTGAGCCCTGCTTGTAGCCTAGCAACAAAAGCTATAGCCTCGTGTTAAATGGATACGGCTGCTGAAGCTGCGCCTCAGTACAGCAGCCATCTTTAGTGTGTAACTTAAAGCGAGATTTCATCATTCTGCACTCAAGCTACCTCCAGATGCTAGAGGTTTGCAGGAGCCAGCCCAGCAGCCTGCTTTCAATTTACAACCCCTCCTCTGATGCCTGCAGCCCCCGAATGAGGCACAGCAGAGCACACGGAGGCGGGCATTCCTCACACATTCTCCCCTATTTTTTTCAATGAGCGTGGCTGCTAACGAACAGTTATTTCAATCTCTTCCTTTCATTTCCGAGGGCAACTGCTTCCAACTTGCCTCCTTTGGCGGGTTAATGTGTTTTCTTCGCCTTATCGCTGTAAACAGGAAAGCGAAGCAGGGATCACCTCCGCCTCTCTCTAGGCACTCACACGCATCTAGCCCTCAGCATGGTAGCTTCCTTCATTAAAATGCCCCCCCTTTCCTGAAACGATCGAAACTGGGGGGGGGGGTCTTCACTGTGCCTCGGTTTAAATCTGCCCCCTTCATGTCCTCATGTTAAGAAGACATCCCTTCCCAAACGGGGTGCATTACTCAAGGCACGTGCGGTGTAGCTGGGATGTCCCCGAGGCGCAGCAGATGCAGCACAGCCAGGGCGCGTGTGCCACTGTGCATGGTACTAGCCTCTGAACCCGGGAGGGCAGGGCCCCCGCGCAGCCTGTAACTCCGCGCCTGTTTAGTGGGGCTCACGCTGGAGGCAGGCTGCACTATTAGGGGCTCACCCCAGCCTCCCCTCTTGCATGGGGGAGGGATTCTGCATAAGGATATAACCCCCCCC